TTATATGACTGTAAATAATATAAAAAATATTAAAAATTAATTTTACACAAATTTCTTTACACATTATTCTTTCACAATGCAGTCATTTTGACTGCTTTGGGCAATATAGGTATACTAAGTTTCAGTCTTTCTAGTGTTAATTTAGTGGTACAAGAAGGTGAATGTATATGAAAATAGAATAATGCTCTTTTTTAGGGTCTCGTTTTCGAGTAAATCAGTGTTGAAGATTTTTGTCGAAATGTTCATACGCTCTCATGTCACCTTACATACACTTAAATGTGTCATTTATATACTGTACATATATTGGCGAACAGACAGAAAACATTTCAACAATACTCGAATTATTAATTAAACTTTGATTAAGAAAATAACTTCATTTTAATGTTTATTTATTAGTACTTAATATTAGAAGTCGGAATGGTAATTGTAACAGCACGATTATATCTTTCAGACATAAATATATGAAAGTAATAGATAGCTGTACGAACGTTCTAAAACCGATTTACTCAAAACAAACGGAAAAGCATTGTTCGACCAAAGAAAAACCAGAGAAATCGACTGTAGAAAATTGTGGTCTACACGTTGGTTCATTTAAAAAACTTAATTACTTTTGGTAGAGCGGGATGGACGTATAATATGAGCTGCGGTAAAGAGAATGGTTACCTTATACACCACAGACCATGTTTATTTCATAATGCTGTAACGTTATTTAAATTTGCTTCTCTCTATACAGAAATTGAAGTAATTTTCAGAGGTTCATTGTAATTATACGACATATGTATGCTTATTAATGGATTGAATTATGGAAATCGATATCCTTTGTTAAAATATTCGCTTTGGTCTTCAATTATGAAACTGATACAGTTATTGTTATTTTATTATAAATAGAAAATTTTATAACAATTAAATTTCATGAATTTCGTATCGATTTCGTCGGTACTATACATGTATATATAAAGGTCAGTGTCCTCGTTCCGTCGTTCCAAAAATATGATTGCACGTGTCTCCTTGTCTTCCCTTTTCGTCTTGTAATTGTATCTCTCCGTCTTCGTGACAAGTTCCAACTGAAGCAAGCTTTGTGTTTTGTAGTTTTACAAGCCTTCGTGACAAATAAATTATTTGAAATTTTTCTTTGAAAAGGTTTTTTTGAAAAACCTGTGCATTTGCTGGCATCAAATTTCCATGCTTTCATGAAGATCTTCTTGAGTCCATTATGAAATTTCCATCTTCGTATTTAAATTTTAAATTTCTTATTTTTCTCTTATACAGAAAGTTTATTATATCATGTAACACGGATTTCATTGAACCAACTTTATGAAGAATTATATATTTTGCTCCATTTTCTTTAATTACTGCCAATGTGTAACATGACCGAATTTTGCTTTTTTAATAGAGGGTTTTAATAGAGAAGTAACAACTTGTATGACGATAAACGAATTACGTCAGTTTCATGTATATTTTCTAGCAGCCTCGGTAATTTCGTTGCAACGTTCTAACTAGATTATTTTCACTCTAGCACGACGTGGTGCTTTCTGTTAGTGGATGCCCTATCTTAATTAATTACTGCGTGCCAGGAAGAACTTAATGAACTTCGTACATCACAGTAACGAAGGACTGCGCGCGGATTGTGACCGTGTTGAAAAATACCGTTTAATGAGGCGAGTAATTAAACCAGAAGGAAACGTAACATTGATTATTATTTGATTTCTGATCTGACTTTTAATTATTGGTGATGTGACTGCCGTTGGAATAGAATGGAACTTGAAAGATATAATTATTGCATATGAAACATTGTTTCGACTTGAAATTTACATTTTTCCAGTTAGATGTTATCTATCGTCCATCGCGTATCAAAAATTTTGAAATATATTAGAAAACAATTTAATTCTGATCGTGAGTTGGCATTATACTGTACTGAATAAGAGTCGTGGAACCTAGCTACCCTAAAAAAGGTGTTGCGGTTATCCACGTTATAAGCTCTACAAATTGATTTTTACGACCTCGCAATATCTGAGCCGTTCAGTGCACACATCGATTAACTCCACTTTTTGAAAAATCTTAAATTTATGTGTCAAAGCACTTGGTATAGTCATAACTTGTGCTTTGACACATAAATTTAAGATTTTTCAAAAAGTGGAGTTAATTGATGTGTGCACTGAACAGCTCTATTTCTCCAACACTATACTTATAAGAAAATCTCCAACGAAGTCCCCACGTTTTTAACCGTTTCCTTAGACGGAAAAATATGTAATGCAATATTGCTAGATCAATTAATACATACAATAACAAAAAAATCGAGCGTATTCCAAACTTTCTTCCAAAAATAACTTTTTATTTGGAGGTAATCGTAGCAAAAGCACGTAAAACATGGATTTACGAGAGTCGAGTTTTCATTCTAATATAAGAAGATTTTCAAGCCATTAAGTACCTTTTTGAAGAAAATAAAAATCAAATCTAAATCACTTTGGCCATGCTTGAAATGAGATGGATTGATAACATAAGCGTTACAAAGGGGATAAGAATTTGGCGATAAAAAGCTATCGAATTCATATGTTTTTATATTTAAGAATTTTTTTGGATAAAACGAGTACCAAAGCGGTCTAGTTGGCAAGCCGAAGATCTCTCTGTAGTTTGAGAACAAACAGCCAATTTTTGTAAGCCATATTTTCAGTGACTTTAATTGGTAACATTGACATTCTGCTTTATCGCACTACTACCGGAGTCTATCCACTTAAATGATTTAATCTGTACATATTGTATCTTAGTACGTGCCGTTTGGTAATTAAAAATGTTTAAAATTGAGTGAAAAATAATTGATAAAAGTTTTGCGGTACGTAAACGATCCGCCCCGAAATGAAAAAGAAGGTAGTAAAGAGACTTGGTCATTTTCGCGAGGAAATCGAGTCCATAGCTCTCTGGCCCAGTTTCAGGCAATTATCGTCATACTCCTTTCTTTTCCCGGCGCCAAACAACTTTCTGTGTGTTAAGTAAGTGGTCTGTGAGAATACGTTTGTGAGCAAAATGCAAAGAATCGCGACAGCAAAAATAGAAGCCGGAAATGAAATTTCATTAGCAATATAAATGTCCTTCTCGTGATACGAAATCCTTAGGACAGGTTTTGTTACTTACATATATTTATAGAAATCAATTAAACACGATATGCAATTTGTAAACAACTGCATATTCTATACAAAAAAATTACAATTTCAAATTCTTTGTAGATATGATTATAATGGCATTTATACGTTATGGTAATGTCAAAATGTTTCCTAAAACAGAATGGATAAGCTAAAGGCTCAATGTTTGCAAAAAATACAAATGCTATAAGCTTTAATTCTGTCTTTACTCATTAAAAAGAAATTTGAAGCAGCAGAAACTTCTATGTTAGAATTTAGAGATTATAATAGATTTTCAAGCATATTTTTAAATGCTAGTATCTCAACTTCTTACATTTTGATAGTGATACTTCTTACATTAACTCACAGATATTATATTTTATACACAAGTATCTTTAAACAAATTTCTGTCATCGTGATTTTCGTTTTTAATTCTTCAGACCATTTCGAATTGCATTGTCTTTTTATATGCGTCAGAAAATACTAAATAACTAAGTACTATGTTTTGTTCTCTCGCTTAATACACGTACGTTCGGTGTGAATTGCCTTTTTTAAAAACATTTATAATCGCTGTTGTCTTCATATTCACTCTTTTTCTATGTATACATTCATACTTTGGCTTTCACTTAAGCAATATCACTAACTATAAATAATACAATCTGCCTTTTTCAACATATGGCTCGATTATTTCAATTGTGGAATTAAAGTGCACGCTTTGAAATAGCAATGTTTAATCTGTCTATTTTCTAAGAGTTGTGGCCGTTGCAATCTTTACGCCTTAAAAGGCTGGCTTTATTACAAATTCTATTCTGTTTCGTTTCATGCTTATCCACAAACCCTTTGAAGGTTCCAAGCCGAAAGTTACCCGTGTTCAGCCTCTATTGAATTTACGTAAAAGGGAAATCGTTTTAAACAATGAATTACGTGACGTGTTACACAAATGTTTTGTGAATCACTTAACTCTCGCTTAACAATTTAGCAATGAGAAAAACGAATTCGGTAAGCTTTTCATTAGTAAATGAAAAGCTGTGTACAGCGTAAAGAAAAACTCTTTGTCTCTTAATTTCTGCTGTTTTTTTTAGGAATGAAAACATTTTTGACGAGTGATCACAAGGTGTTGTCACAACAACCCGGCGTTATTCATAATGAAATTTCATGTGAAAATTTTTCTTTGCATGATGATATTTCTCTTGGTCTTTCTCCTCTTAGAACACGAACATTTTTCGTTGACAATACACACTGTCTTCTATTACGACTGAAAATTTACATCGCGCTGCACACGTTTAAAGTGTACTCGAAAGTTAATTCTTTTTATGTCGAACTGCGAGTTCGTGTTTAAAGTTTATTTTGAACCTGGGTATTAACATTTAAGCGGATCAGAAGCAAGAAAATTTCAGAGGAAATTAAAATGGCCCTGTTTAATCCGAGCAGCTCGTTAAACTCAGTAACCTTTGTTCTGAAAATTTCCCGATAATTAAGGAATTTTTTAATACAATGTAAAATTAATCACTATGCGTACCTTTATTTTTTTCTACTAATTGTCCATAAAAAACTCTGAAGTATATGCTAAATTAGTAACCTTTAGAGACTATACCAGTTGAAGTATTATGCTAAATCATTAAATAAATTATACAGGGTGTCCCAGAAATAATGTCGAAAAACGAAAAACGAGAAAGTGTGATTCTGGAAGTGTTTCAGAACAATAACTTCCTTTGACAAAATGCAAAGTGAGGCATAGTTTTTGAATTATTAACGAAAAACACTGACCAATGAGAGCACGTATAGGACCCGCGCTCAGCTATGGCCAAGCGTCACGATCCGAGCCAACCGGTCGGGTGTATTCATAAAATAGTAGTATTCATAAAATAGTAGTATTCATAAAAAATTGGATTCAATGAAACTAAAAGCAAAAAGTGTTGCAACGATCTGGCGTCGCACTGCACTTAAAAATGCAGTACCATTAACTCAAAAAGTTAATGGTCCACAATTGCAAGAAGTGGCAATTGTACTCACGGGTCATGCGACCACGTGAGTTGTCCGACGTCAGACTGTACACTTCTACACAGTGTACAGAATCCTTGATTTTTCAAGGATTGAAAAGACGAAATATGAACAAATAACGTTGCAACAATCTGACGTCGCACTGCACTTAAAAATGCAGTACCATTAACTAATAAAAAAGTTAATGGTCCACAATTGCAAGAATTGGCAATTGTACTCACGGATCATGCGATCACGTGAGTTGTTCGACGTCAGACTGTACACTTCTAAGTAGTGTACAGAATTCTTGATTTTTCAAGGATTGAATAGACGAACCATGAACAAATAACATTGCAACGATCTGGCGTCGCACTGCACTTAAAAATGCAGTACCATTAACTAATAAAGAAGTTAATGCACCACAATTGCAAAAACTGACAATTGTACTCACGGGTCATGCGATCACGTGAGTTGTTCGACGTCAGACTGTACGCTTCTAAACAGTGTACAGAAGCCTTTACTTGTTCAAGGAAAATTAAATTTGTTATACTATTTTCGGTTTAGTTCATAACATGTATGAAAGAGATTTATTTCATAAATTATATTTTTGTCATTGCTTTTTAGTCAAAATTAAATAAAAAAATTATTTCTGAATTTGATTGGCAAGTGGCACACGAAAGTGGAGTATGAGAAATGAAAATTTTTCTTTTGTTAGATACTTATTGACCGTTAGGTCCAAAATGAAGGTCTGAGTAAACGGAAAAGACAAGAAAACGAATTCATATCTCAGGTGGCTCTTTCCCTTTCACAGAGAGTCATTACTTTACGTAGCCTCGAGCATTTCCGAGTAATACACCTTCTTCGAGATAATAGCAAGCATAACCTGTTTTATTACGAAACAAAATAAATAATCTGTTTTCATGTAATATGTAGCAATTTAGTGTGCAACATAAATTATTTCCTGTACCTTGTGACTGCCATAAATCATTCTTAACGGTCCTGCATAGTTTATGATGTTCGCGCCGTTGTATTCGTCTTTATGACAGTTGTGACAGAGGCAGACGTGACGTTTATAAGATAGGAAAGAGAAAGGCCAGTTCTTCGTGACACGAACGCGTGAATAAATCTGAACCCGTGAATTACGACGCTATTGAATTTCTACGTCCCAACATAAACATAAAGCAGAATTTGAATGCGATCGATGTCAGTACAGCTGCAAATTCGGTGCAAATATTCGATTGTTGTTGCATGCGAAAAAAACCATCGAAATATTGAAATCGATTGTCAAATGGATCTGTAAACTCTTCTCATTCAAGTATTAATTGACACTGTAAATGAACAACAGTTTGGGTGATATAATTTTTTATTGTTTAATCACTGAATTTTACATGATGTGTAATCTGTTTTTATTCTTATGCAGCGTGTTGTTGAATCCAATTCAAGTAAGAGCTGACGCGAGTGTAGACAGTGGGATAACTAGTGAGAGCGCATCCTCTTGACCATGATACAATTCCAACAATTTTCCCGTTAACAGTAAGAGGGCCGCCAGAATCACCCTGTGATTGTTAAATATCGATTCGAATGGTAGATCAATCGAACATAAATTTTGTAAATTAATAAGATCCAGTGTTACTTACGTTGCATGCTCCTGTGACAGTCTTAGGGTCATTAGCACAGATTTGCGAATCAAAAATGTTGGTTTGGTAAGCTTTTTTGCAGACAGCTTGGTCGGTGATATAAAGTTTCGCCTTTTGCATTTTAGTCGTAGTTGGCCCATTTTCCTATGGAATATTAATGTAGCATATTGTAGCATGATTATTTTACAAGTAGTAGAATGTTTTTTGTTTACTTTGTTTAATACAAGTTTACGCTTACTCGGAGTCTGCCCCATCCTGATACTACAGCTGGTGCACCCGCGGGAACAACATCGTTTGCTTTTGGTAGAGGAACGAAAGATACTTGTGGCCCTCTTACGAATGGCTGCTTCACCTAAAACATTGAAAAGTTTGAGATACGCGTACCGAAGTCTCAGCATTTCATGTGAAATCGCTTAACTGTATTTACAATGTTCAATTATAAAAATATTTGTCTATATCGTATTTAATATTCGCTTGCTCTTTGACTTTTTCGACGTTTGTTAGGGAAGAATATTATAGATTTTGATATAAGGCTTTCTATAGAAAGTTGTTAAAAGTGAACGGAATTTTCCTCTCTTTTTAATGAGATATCGTCTTCTCCGGGCAATTACAGTTTACCTGAGGCTCCGCAATTTTATTTTAGCAGTAAACAGTGAATTTTATAAAGTGTTATTTGTTCATAGGAAAAATGTATAATTGATCATGTCGAGATTCCCGTAACAAATATAGAACACAAAATTACGAGTGAAAATATTTTAAGAAGTTAACTAGTACATCATGTCTCTAAAGCTTCTATTGTATAACATTTTTTTATATTATCTGCATATTAATTAATTTAATTATTTAACAATTAAATTATTTACCATTAAATATCGATATTTTTTTAAATACTCTCCAACACCATAAACATGATCTACTGGAATCAACCAACTCGGTGACAACTACCGAGAATATTGGAAAAAAATGTTGTATATTGTTCATTGAATCACAATGAGATTCTCAAGAAAGTTTCT